CAGCGGCGCACGGTCGTTCATCGCTTGCACAGCGTTGCCTTCCCAAAAGCCGTCCATCTGGAGCTGCCCCGCCAGATGCGAGAGCACCTCGCGTGTAAAGGATGAGGGAAGAGGAGCGAGGGGGACATGGGTGAGGAGGAGAACTAAGGAAAGAGGAGCACGAAGAAGAACATGCATGGCCAGGTGCGAGAGGACTTCGTTGGGGCGCAGGGGTGGGGCACAGAGAGGGTCTCAAACATCCTGAGCGGGATCTCTCACCAAGAGCTTAAGAGGCCGAACCAAGCCCCTTGGAATTCTCCGTATAACTCGGTACTTACGTTAGCCTCATCGCCCTCTGCGATCCACCCGTCTTCTGCACAGCTGCAACGGATGGTGTGGTGCAGACCTCCCTAAAGGGGCCCAGATGCAAAAGTAAAGAGACACGAATTCCACGATCCTCCACATCTTTCCATCTTTTCTGTACTGTCGTCTCCCCCCACACTTCCCGCATTTCCCCGCATGTTCCTGGGCAGCGACGTTTACTTGTGTCTGTCTTTTTCCCCTCCCGATCCTCCCCCCCTCCTCCTCCTCATCCTCCTCCTCCTCCGCCTCCTCCTCCTCCTCCTCCTTTCGCGCGCACTGAGGAGAGTGGCGACTGCTCCGCTCGCGCAAGGAAGGGGCTGCCAGCGCGAGCCAATGCCCAGGACACCACCCTGACCCGTGTGCGTGGATGCGTGTGCGCCTGCTGTCGCAACCACACAAGATTCAAGGGGCCCAAGGACCACACAACTAAATACACACAAATAACAGGATACACCAAATGTTCCAATACTTTCTGGGTTTCTGTCTTCCCCCCCCACTGCACATATTTTCCCATATTTTCGGGGGAATCAACGATCAATTGTGTCTGTGTGTTTTTTCTCCTCCTGAAAGATGAAGAACTGACTTTGAACGTGCCCCGCCCTAGTTGACCTTGATCCGCTGATTGCATCCCATCGGCGCGCCAGGGGAACCCCTCGCGAATGATGCCGTCCGATCCTCAATGGGTGGATCGGGCATCTCCCTGCTTCGTGAGCTGGCCCGGCTCGGGCGCGCTACCTCTCGTCCGACCTTGCTACGCCACGCCGCCGCGCGCGTGATCGCGACGCCGACAGCAGGTGGTGTGTGTGTGGTTGTGTGTGTCTTTGTGCTTGTGTCTGTGTCTGTGCTTGTGTTTGTGTCTGTGCTTGTATCCCCCTGCTCTTCCCTCGGCCCCAGCGGATCGCGGCGGACGTGCGCGACCAGGCGTGCAACGGCACCTGGCAGTGCGCCGTACACCCTGCGAATTTGCTTCAGAAATCATGGGTTCAGACATTCAGAGTCTCAGAACTGGAAGAAGAGCCCGAACTTCCCATTACAAATCTTAGGATTCACATGGAAACGTGAAGAATCATCGAGACCCTGGCCGAAAACTCAAGTTTTCTCAAGCATCGCCTGAGGTGTGTGCGCTGGCGCGGCGTGGGACTGCCGAGTGCGGCGGGCCAGGGAAGTAATTATCATCCGGCCGCCCGCCCGCCTCCTGTGCCCCATATCGGGCCCCCCCCCCTCCCTCCCTCCCCTCCCTCCCTCCCTCCCTCCCTCCCCCCCTCCCCCCCCTCCCCCCCCCCTCCCTCCCTCCCTCCCCCCCCCTCCCTCCCCCCCCTCCCCCTCCCCCCCTCCCTCCCTCCCTCCCCTCCCTCCCTCCCCCCCTCCCCCCCTCCCTCCCTCCCTCCCGCTCCCTCCCCCCTCCCTTCCCTCATGTGGCGTCCACTCCAATCCTGTCACCGCCGGGAGGAGCCGCTTAGAAGGCCCCTCAACGGCCCAAGAAGGCACCGAGACGGCCCCAAGACGGCACCAGAGAGCCCCGAGACGGCCTGAGCGGGCCCAAGAGGGCCCCAAGGCGGCCCCAAGGGGCCTCCAAGACTGCCCCACAGAAGTCCAAGACAGTCCCAAGACGGCCCAACATGGCCCACCTGAGCTCCTCCAGAAGTGAAGACCAAAGGGAGCACATGCGACGGCGTTCCCCTTCCTCCTCCTCCTCCTCCTCCTCCTCCTCCTCCTCCTCCTACTCATCATCATCATCATCATCATCATCATCATCATCATCATCATCATCATCATCATCATCATCATCATCATCATCAGCAGCAGCAGCAGCAGCATCATCGTCATCATCACCACCATTATCGTCACCACCAGCACCACCGTCATCATCATCACCATCATCACCATCACTCCATCAGCATAATCATCATCACAATCATCATCAGCAGCAACATCAGCAGCGGAAGCATCAGCACCAGCATCAACATCAGCAACAGCATCATCATCAGTATCAGTATCAGCATCCGTATCATCATCAGCATCATCATCAGCATCGTCATCCTCATCATCACCATCACCATCATCACCATCACCATCACCATCAACAGCATCATCATCGGCAGCGGCATCAGCATCCGCATCAGCATCAGCATCAACAGCATCATCATCATTACCACCA